TAGCAGAAGCCATCCCTCAGACTCCCCGTCAAAAAAATTACTTCCATCGAGAGATAAGGGAGGAAGGAAAGAATTTTAATCGCTCTGCAATGTTACTTTCATTCCACGAGGTAATGCGATTGTCTTCTCAAGATTTGCAGTAAGTTAAACCATGAATCTTGAAAGTCTGTAAGCTATCGACTGAGTAATTGGCCATTTCTCTAGAAATGCACTAAGAATATTAGATAAAGTTGATGAGATTAAGTGAATTCAATATGAAATAGAAGAAGATGAAACGATTAGCATTAAATGGTGTACGTTGTTCATACGTAAATGGATCAACTGAGCAAATTCGATTATGGTCAATAGCGAGAGATGTGGAGTATTGTCGAAATGCTTCACCACTCATCAACCATAATAACTATCAATTAAATGCTCGACTACGTACACCAGCACATTCGCGTTGCATTCTCTCAGATCTATCCTTCAGTTCAACTGCTCTATATGGATATATTCTCTTGTACGTTTATATTATCTTAAAAGTAATCCATCCGTAAGGTACGTTAATTCTCAATTACATATCTCAAGAGACATCGGATTCAAGCGATTTTCAGAAACAGACATCCAAAGAGGAGGCAGAGAGGATATGGTGAGATTAACTACGGATCCATCCGTCCATCTTTTGCAGCAACTCTTAGTCCATTCATTTCACAATCTATTTATTCGGCTTAACCCTCGTCGAGCAGCCAACTCGTCGTAATCAATCGAAATTCATTTCTTCGTTCCATTACACTTCCTCTCATTTCCTCACTCTCCATCAATCAATCGCATTATCCATTCACTTTCGTCGCCGTGGCTGACTGCCTGCGTCTGAGAGCGCTCCTCTATCTTGTTCACACCTGCCGCTGTACGCTCTCNAGGGGGAGAGCCCATCAAATTACCGTAATCCACTGAGTGTGTCACATAGATTCTTCACTACTATCATCAGCGCGTTTTCGTATAAATACGACGACATTATATACGATTAAAATCATTGGTAATCAACAAAACATTAAAAGTAGTATTCCTTTCGTAAGCATTTGCATATGTTATCCTCACCATTAGTGTCACTTCAGTAGAGAACCTTATTGATAGCTCAATGAATATGAAACGTAAAACGGATAATGTGAAGGCACATTTAAAAATAAACATGAACATGGAATAAATGAAAGGAATGCAAGAATATACATGAAACACGAATATGGAATGCAAGGAATACATGAATATGCATATAAAACATGCAATGATTTTCAAAAACCTCATATGAAGGCCATTTTCAATTGATTTATTGCTATTTTCACTAGAATATTTATCAAAATAGATGAGAAAAAAGAAGAGTGAAGAGATTTTCTCGTGAAAGCGTTCGAAGAAGAAATTTTGATCTGAGAGAGCTTATGCGGTGAAAGCAAATCATCATTCATACAAATGAGGCGAAAGCTTTGATAAGTAATATGACTGAGAAAACTCAACCAATGCTAATGTATAGAAATGAGACCAATAATCACAGTATTCATATTAAGTGTTCAGTGAACTGCAGGTGATAACTACTGAATTAAATGAAAATTTGTAGGTTTGGTTTCAAAATCGTCGAAGTAAAGAGAGGAGAATGAAACAGCTACGCTATAGCGGATATAGACCGTCGAGAAGGAATCGTGGCGGAAATCGGGAAGACTTATGCGGTCAGGCTGGCGATTTATTTCCGCATGGTAGGGTATTAATTTGAATAATTTCGTTGCATTCACTTTTTGTTGATTAAAATTTTGGTGATTTATGATCAATAAAGTATTCTGATCAAAGTGATTTCATTGCAGTTGTGAACTGTAATTTAACAATACTGTTTCTTTTTTGCGTTATTTTTCTTATCATTATCACAATTATGCAAATGTATACGTATAGGCTGCTAATCAAACTGAAACGTTTGCATTATCTGCGATTTTGAAACTCTCTCCATTATATTGAATTCAACGCACGGATGTGGAGAATTTTTCATTCATATGGCATTGTTTGGTTCTCTGGCTTTTCACTCATTGTCAGACAGGCATTGCAATGTCATTGTAAATTTCAAAAACATGATCATTTTGAAAGGTGCGACGTTCATATTTGTCAATAATGGCATTAGAATTGCAATCTGCTCTAAAAGTCAAAATCTCGTTTCACGAGATAATCTCTTGGAAAATGCATTCGATCCAATGCAAAACCAGTTAATATTCACAATAATTCTATACGATACGCATGTTTTACTTATAAGCTGACAATCCGACTTGTACTGAATAGAGACAGTGACATAAAATGAAACATGATGAGGTGCAATATTATATGGGGTCAGCTTGATTATGATTATTCGATTAGATAATTCGAATAGGCTCAGTATAGCATGCTTAATGTTGCATTTTATGTGTTTTATTTTTATGCATTGCAATAATTACAGTCATTGTTACGGCATTAATGACACAAATAATAATAATAACTGCTTTTATGTGAAAATAAACACGTGATCGTGTTGATTACAGTTGATAATATGCATATGAGATTGGTAATTGAATATTATCAAATGACTAATAATTATGCTTAGGCATATTAANCCATAGTTACTATGCATTGTTTCATTAGGTAACATTGTCGATTTCTTATTTATTTATTTGCCTCTTCCGCACAATTCTATGATTATTTAGTTGCTTATAGCCATTAACCTTCTTTGATTATTACGGAATGAGGAGATTTGCGGTCTGAAAAGTTGATTTCTGATCAGTGACTGAATAATGTATCAACTTGATTGGTAATGTGCAAATTAACGAGGGTACTGATAAGAATATTTTATCAACAGTTACAACTGATTACGAGTTTATGCTTCTCTGCTATCACCAATATCACATTCTTTCTTCGTTGACATGCTTCTTTCCGCGCAGCTAACAATAACAGCATAGGAGGTTATCTCTCTCATGAAATTCTAATTTCGATCACTGATTTGGCGAGTATAAAGGTCGAGGGTTACTAGAGGATTACTCTCCCACATTGTCTGATGATTTCTAGAGAGATGGACACAAAAATAGCCCGAGAATACACTGCGTCTGATTGCTTGAACTGCGTTCAATGATTGCTCAGATTGGCTGATTGGAACCACCAACAGTAGTGGACCAATGATCATTCGGGATCAATAATGAACAATTACTGTACCCGAATAGATCCATTGCGTATTTAATACGCCGATTGATAAAAATAATGATAATGATAGAACTAAAAATTATTAATGTTAATGATAAATAACAGATGCAAATGGCGAGGCATATTTTGGTCAGCCGGGGATATCGTTCTATTGCGAGAGTGGATATGCACCCCCGCAACCTGATGGCACTCAGCAGACTGCTTTACCACATCCTTCGTTTATTATGCCACCTGATGCACATCACTTACATATGGATCCTTCTAATAATGGTATTTTTTACATTGTTATCACTTATCTTTATTTTGAATTGTGTTTAAATAGTAAACATTTTATGTGCATTTTAGAATCGCCATTCCTCGAAGATAGTCTTCGACCGCCACACAGTTCACCGAATATGCCGTTAGCTGCACAGGTTGATATTTAATAACTTTATTTTCAAGCAATATTTATGATCTTCGATATACATATGATAATAATATTATATAATAGCAATAGCATTAATAATAATTACAATAGTGATAATAATAATAATAATAATAATAATAATAATAATAATAATAACGATGATGATAATAATAACGATCTATCACAAAATAAACGAACAAATTCTCCAGAGATCAACTAAGAAGCATGAATGATATGCACAAAACGCATCACTATCAGATGCGGTCATCAAAATTGAATGGCATTTCAACTGAATACACATCATGAGATGTCCTTTTGCTTGTCACATTCATTCGAATTATATGCAATACGAATGTTTATGTTATTATTGATAGACATATTTAAATATCAATTCATCATTTATGCTAATTAACGCCACCTTATTGACTAATTATCACTCATCATCTCTCGTTTTTTAGTGTATACATATATCGTATCTTTATGATTCAAAACCCACGCTTATAGAGTTTCCAAATGATCTTTCGGGAAGAGGATAGACCTACTCAAAGGGATGGGCAGAAATTATGCGATTTGTCCAGATATGATGTTAGGTTATCAATATTGTTATTATTACTGTTGGTATTAATAGTATAATTATTTTAGTAGTATGGGTACATCTCATCTTATATTATTAATATTTTTATAACTATTTGTATTATTATCAGAATTATTATTGCTAATATTGTTTTTGGCGTGTGTATCAGTTATAATAAAAGAGGGCTCTTTCAGGAAGATGCATATCGACCAATGCAAGCACTGTATGCTCCACCGACGGCACCTCCTGAGCTGAAATCGGTGGTTCCGGGATGGTGATTGACTGTTTTGAACACGAATAAACTCAAATTGTCTTTTGAAACCTATCAACAATTGAATTTGACCGTGTCAACATGTAAAAAAACAAAACTAACTAATTGCATTTTGCTGATTGTGAGGATTTAAACGGATCTCTGAACGTATTTTCACAGAAAATTACTTTTGTTTCTGGAGAATTTCATGAGGATTTTTATTTTCGTGCGAGCGAATTATCATTACTATGTACTCGTATCTGTGTTCTTGAAAAAATTGACCGATTATAAATTCAGTGTGAGGGTTATGAGTAATTTGCATGTGGGGGGAGTTTATATGTCGATGTATTTGAAATTCTGGTCATGATAGGACTGATATCGTTACTGATAGTGCTATCACCATTCATATTGTTACTATATTTCTATTGCTTATCAACCAAGAATTCATCGCTCATCATCAACAACCAGATTTAGTCAGAATTGTGCTCGTTTGCAGGTTGTGATAAATGCTATTATCATCATTATTATTTATTATTATTATTACTCTTATTATTATTATCAATTATTATTATATTATTATTATATTATTATTATTATATTATTATTATATTATTACTATTATATTATTATTATATTATTTATTATCATATTATTTATTATTATTACTATTATCATTATTTATTATTACTGTTATTATTAGTATTAATACTTTTATCATTATCATTATTATTAATCAGTGCTATCATTGTTACACGAATTATTAAACTTCGTTGTTTCATACTATGTAAGAAATTTTATGTGATTTGATCAGCGTATTATTTCATTCGGACTTCATGAGAATTTATCCAGATTAAGGCAGAATTCTGCAAATTGATTTGCTTGAAGATTGATATTGATAGAATTTATAAATTGTTCTGATCAAATTCTATGTAAGAATCAGTAATGATTATTTTTATCATTGTAAATTATTATGAGTTGGTCGTTTTTGGTGTTATCAGTATTTATTGCATGTGTTGATCGATATATGTCATTATATATGATCATCAGACTCGTTATCACTAACCTTATCACTATTATCATATTGTCGTTCTTCCATAAGTTTGCCAAACTACAATCCATATCATTTGCTAAGTGCATACATGCGCTGCTTACGTGCACTTAATTGTTTTTGCTTTTGTTTTTTATCATCATTTTATTGTATTCATTATCTATCACTATTATTACTGTTGTTCTTTTATTATCACTGAGTTTCACAATTTTCTATCTCTCAACTCTGTGTTTGTTCTCATTGTCTTTTCATACTTCTCACCTTCCTTCCTTCCTTTCGATGAAAACTTTTCGCATAATATCGAATCATAAATCATAAATGAACAAATAATTGAATAAATGATAAATTGAAGTGTTCAGTGCAAAATACGAATTGAGAAATTTATGCTGATCAATCGGAATCATCAAATTGCTAATCGATTGATCAGGCATTTCCTAATCACAGCTAACGCTTCGCAATGTGAAATGCAACAAAAAACAGTTCAGCGTAAAAACGAGTGAAAAATGAAATATGACTTATGCGAATTAATGACATGTGATTGACGGTTTGTGAGCAAAAAAAAAGATTTCGAAAATGGATCAGTGAGAACGAACGAACGAACGAACGAATGAAGATAATGAAAGAAATGTTGACGAATGTCAGTCGTTTGACATTTCGAGGCAATCGTTATTGCGTCGAATTGCGATCAGAGATTCGCTGAGAAAACACAAAAACATAGATGTTCACCAAAAAATGGGTCGTATTCAAATCGGTGAATTTTATTTGATGTTTTAGTTGTTGAAATGTGCGCATTTTGGTTTTGTTGCTGATTTGCTGCACGATTTTTTGCGTGTGTAACGAATGTTTCATGTGATCACAGCGGGCGGTAAGTATCATTTGCATCAACGGTCACATCGTCGTGTCATCAAATTCAATGGATACATACACGAATTTGATTGTTGAATGAATTTGTAACATTACCAACGAAATATTACAGTTCCTTTCATGATACATTCAGAAGAGAACAGTTCTTTGCATGACATTTCACTGTTTTGTTTTGTTTTTTCTTCCTATGACACATCGCAGTCTTTTGTTCGATGATTTCACATGCCTTCTCCGAATGCAATTCGATGCGAGTGTAGAGCTTCCTGAGTTTTTGTTTGTTTCAGATTAATCATAATCCGAACGGTCACTTTTTTCAAACAATTTCATCACATTTCAAAGCATCAGAATGATATCTGTTTTTTGTTTCCTTTACATTTTGATCTATCCAATAGATTGGTTTGCAAATCAGGGATGAGTATTCTTAATGTGTACAGAATGAATAAATCAAAAACTGATGCAAGTTTTCAAGTGTCATATGACAAAGTTCGATAAACACAACGTAAGAGTGTGTGTTGAAATTCTG